TCTGTAAAATTTTTGACTCTCAGGACATCAGAATGTGACTGTCTTTGGAGACAGCATAGCTAATGAGATGATTAAGTTAAAATGAGGTCATTACATCTTCTTTATCCACTTTCCAACTGATGGTGGCCCTGGCAGACAAATACAGATGTTAGAATGATGAATATGGCTACCATTTGATTAAATTTAAGAAACCCAAATGGAGATACATGTATATTAGCTTTCCCACCACTGGCAAACAAACTCCAATATTCATAGTTTAAAGGAAGAGAGGTCTAATTTGACTCATTGTTTCAGGGGATTCAGTCCATAGTTGATTGGCTCTAAGGCACAAATATGGTGGAAGGTTGTGGCAAAGAAAAGATACATAGTTCATGGTGGCCAGGGAGCAGAGTTGGGGAACAGTGATGGAGAGGAAGGGGATAGGGCCCAGATATAGACCTCAAGGTCATACCTCTGTGACCTACTAAGATACATACCTCTGTGACCCACTAAGCACACCCACAAGTGTGCTTTCCTAATTTCCTAGAAGCCTCTCAAGGCAATCAGGTTGACAATTAAGTGTAACAGATACAATATACAAGAGGATGTTCTGTGGTTCCTGGAGGAATCATTCTCAACTGATGAAACAAGGTTAATCAAGCCTCCTGAAGAAGAGGTGGGTCACATACAATGTTTAAGAACCCCAAAAGTGATTTTGAATTTCCTTCTCTCCCCCACTGGAAATGTCTTAAAAGAACACAATGTCTTAAAAGAATGCAAAAATGAGGACATGAGTATGTCACTACTTCTCTTGCCCACGTAACTAATTCTATTGGTACTACTATAGACAGTTTACTTTTAGTGTCACTAACTAAAACATAAACTTTATAAATAATTATATTCATCATGTAAAATATTGGAACTGAGCCTACTCATTCCCTTCTATTTGCCTTCAAAATTCAAACCTAGTTCACTATTTACTTTCTCTTTCTTCCAACTTATAAATTCTGCAGCCTGTTAAAGACGTGGTTCACATAACTCCAAGTTTCAGCTGTGTTTACAGCCCCCTAGAGACAGCTAGGCTTCAGCTAGAAGTAAAATATTTCATTATCTCATTCAATTGTCCAAGGCAATGTGTTATTTTATTATGTGTGAAATATTTTAGGTCCGTTAAAGGTGTGCTATGAAGTGAGCCATCTGGAAAACACAATGCATGATTATGAGCCATTTTTAAACTTTTGTTTCCAGTTCGTCCTTCTATGACTGCTGCTATATACTATTTAATGTTAAGGAGAGAAGATCTGAAGTCATACAAGTTAGACGCCATTTCCAACTATCATTAGCTAGTGTATAAGTTACTTAACTGCTCTGATTTTTTAGTCTTATCTGTAAAGCTGAGATACTAATGCATGCTGCCCAAAAGTTTTATGAGAGTTAAGTTACTTGGGACAGGATACATAAAAAGGCTGATTTTCTGCTTTATTTGTAAATGTACAAAACGCTAGTCTTTATAGAAAGAATATTAGATAAACCAATAATATTTGGAAACCAGATCGAACAGTTTAGTTTTGCAAAGAAAAGTCCACTGAGCTTCCATATAACTTCCTTTTCATTTCAAAGGAGGAAAAAAAAAAAGTATTGAAAGATCAAGTTTGCAGCTTCTAGATTCTCAGTTTGGAACGGGTTAGGACCACCCAGCCAAGCGGAACAGGGAGGTGCTGTCCGTGGTGCTAATAACCGGGACCGCCCCGGCAACATTTCTCAGGCACAAATTGTTTTTACATTACCTTGCTTAGCGAAGTTCTCGTATCATGGAAAATACTCATTCTGTTTATTTTCTTTCCCCCATCCTGCTACATTTCTTCCATGTCTCCATTGAAGAAAAACGATTCTTGTCCACTTCCTTATCAACTCCAGTTTATTTCTTGTGAATTACTTAATTAATGTGTTTGTTTTTGTAATAACAATGGTTGAACCCAGGGCCTTCACAATGAATTACATTCCAAGCCCCTTTTTATATTTTTACCTTGAGATAAAGTCTCACTAAGTTACCTAGGCTGGGCTCAAACTTGAAATCCTCCTGCCTTAGCCTCACACAGTGCTGGGATTACAGGCATGCCACCACACCCAGTAACAATATTTTTCCAAACATATTAGCCATGCCTAAGACTTAAGAAGGTGGCTCAGAAACTGCTTCACCTATTTTTTCCTGTTCTTATTTATAAATTTCAGAAAAACTCAAAGTTCAAAATAAGAGTGCTGGAAGCAGATCATTTCTAATTTTATTTTTATAGATTCCTCAGTTGGCCCCTCCTTTAAGATTCCCTACCCTGTACCCTAAGTTCCTCTCCTCTTTATTTTTTTTCATTTATTCTTTATTTTCACTTGTTTGTTTTTAATTTTTGTTGTTTTGGGGGAGGGTTTTGAGGGGGTTGTGAGATTTTTTTTTTTTTTTTTTTTTTT